CACACACACACACACACACACACACACACACACACACATATGTATGCACTTATGCGCGTACACATGCACACGCACGCGCACGCACACGCGCACACACACAAACATGCGCACGCACGCGTGCACATACACACACGCGCGCACACGCACACACGCACGCACGCACGCACACACACACACACACATATGTATGCACTTAAGCGCGTACACATGCACACGCACGTACGTGCACACACGCACGCGCACGCACACGCGCACACACACAAACATGCGCACGCACGCGTGCACACACACACACGCGCGCACACGCACACACACGCACGCAGGCACGCACACACACGGCAGACTGTAAGAAAAACAAGACGAGAGCGGCGCTGCATTCCTGCAGGGAGCCATCGAGCACCGTGGAGACCGGAGCGCCGGCAGGGATAGCGAGCATTCCCAGACTCCGACCGACACCAGCTGCGTATGTGTGAGCGCGTGCGTGCGCGCGTGCGTGCGCGTCCGTGCATACGTGCGTACGTACGGTACATGTATGCGTGCGTGCGTGCGTGCGTGCGTACGTGAGTCAACGATAGAGCGTTAAGCGCATGCCGTTGCTGTTTGCAGTTCAAATATTTATCTGGCGTTTAGTTTGCAGTACCGGTGTGTTTCATTAGTGCTCTTCGGGTGCTCGGCGTTTACTTTGCCGATTCCTGTGTTTATTTATCCTCGTTCATTACGTTCGCCCCGTCGTTCGCTTGAACTCATCTAATTATTCAAATACTTTTCGTATTTGTAACGTTAATCACATGTGCGTGTGAGTGTACGACAGTAATGCGTGTACGTGCGTGTACATGCACGCGTGCACGCACATGCTGGAACGCACGCATAGTGTGCACGCATGCGACTCTTCGTACAGTGCAGGGATAGTACAGATATAGAATCGGGTATATTGCGGTTCTTTTGCGATTTTATAAAATTTATAGTATTACAAAATTTATTTTTTAATGTATTTTTTATTTGTTTATTATTAATTTATTTATTTATTTATTTTATTTTATTATATGAGTTTGTATTTACTACTGATACAATGTTTATGACTAAATGATCAACGTTCTGCAGTAGTACGAGGCGTCTCACACTACCAGAATTATTAAAATATCTATGAATTCATGAAATCTTGAATCCACTATCGCGATTCTACGCGAACCTCTCTATAAAGTTTACTGCCGTTACTATAATATCGCGACAAATCGTCAATCTGCCATGTGCTGTGAAAGATAACCCAGCAGCGCTCGTTCTAGTTTCGACTATCCCTCGCGGAGCCCGCAGTTACGGCCGTAGGAATATTGTCATCCGCGTCTGACGGCGTATATCTGAGCAAACTACGGCAACGGAGTTTGTAAACGAACTCAGGTGAAAACTGCCGACTACGAAGGACCTGAAGGTGCACCCATAGGTGCACCGAAACAACCCGCCTGCAAGGTGTGTCTCTCATCGTACCATCGTTGGTGAAGACGAGATAGGACAACAGGCTATATAGATAGTATACATCGGAAGTGGAGCTAAACACGAAATATGTCATCTCATAGTGTGTGAAAGGGAGAAAGAGAGACATCTGTGCTATATTATTTGTATTTTGTATATATGATAATACAGTTATTCGTTTATCGTCGGAATATAAGAATTTGTTGTCGAACATGAGTGAGAGATCGGATGCGAGCGATAGCGGACTCGTACCTGACCCAGGTGTGCTAAGGTAAGCAATGTTTACTTACATGTATGTATACATGCGTTTCGCATGCATACATGGCACACCCACAGGCACTTGGAACGTCTCAATAAAAAGAATAATGGTAAATAAACACGAAATGTATTTACTACCAAAGCCTTAATATTTCTCTACTTTATGTCGATCTCCTATTATTGCCGATAATTACCCGTAAATGCCGGTCAAATGCTCATCTGCAACACACAAGTACACCGCACGCCCGCCCTGTGCACAAACAACATGAATAAGAGAGTATCTCTTCTTCTTCTAGTAACATTCTCTCTTATTCATGTTGTTTGTGCACAGGACGGGCGTGCGGTGTACTTTTGTGTTGCAGATGAGCATTTGACCGGCATTTACGGTAATAGAAGATGTATTACTATTAGTCGTATTAGGTACCTTTAGCAAAGCCAATTAAATTACTCTTGTTACTTGTGAATCATTGAGTAATATTATGAATATATA